TTTTTTAAAGTTGGATTTGGGGTGTGAAATTTTCCTCCATCTTTGTCCAAAAGATATTTTCACCCAAGATGCATTCACGGTAGACAGGATACAAATGTTCCTCAATTAGATTTCCCATTTTTATGAGACATTGTCAATGTAGACATCAGTCGTATACCTACTTGTTTTGCGATGATGCATTTAATCAAAGAACACATCAGTTGGATTTGGGTTGTGAACGTTCCCCTTTATCTTTCTTCCTGAGGTGTTAAGAATGTTAACTTGAGGCCCGGCGGTGTGGAGAAAAGTTGCAGCCGATGCACGTTCATACACTACACTTCTCACATAGAGTAAGGTGTAAACCCAGTATTTAGTGTACCTGCATATGGAACCGGTAATCTACATGTACATACAGATCTTCATGACCGGCTACTAAGCCCTACGAAGGTTCACAGTAGAAGAAGGAGAAGAAAAAGGATTGCATCAATCGTATTTTGGATGTGAACATTCCCTCCATCTTTCTTGCTAAGATGTTTTCTCCTAAGATATGCATCAGTGGTAGACAGGATGTAAGACCCTACCCACTTGAGGATAGAGGTAGAAGCTAGAAGGAAGATGAGATTTACAGGTCAAGCCCCTTGAAGGAGAGACTGCATCAGTCAGTAGCTCCATATGTTCTCAAGGTTGCACAGTATTTAGTGAACACATAACCTAGACACTAGCGCACACACACACACATGTGTGTTTACCTATGTATACACACCCACACCCAGTCACCCATCCATGCACACAAATTCCCCACCCAAAAAGATAAAAACAAGTACATTGCATTATTATCTAACTTTCCTAACGTTTTGTTTCAAATAATTATTTCAGGTGCACAAAAGAGCGTTCGTTTCACAATGTTGAATTTTTTTAGTGGTTTGTAAATGTGTAATAAAATAAAGAAAGGAATTATCTTGGACTATATTGAAAGTGTAATTTAGCCTAAAATATAAGTGAAGGTAAAAGCTAGTTTAATTCTTTTAGCATAGATTAGCTGTTGCAACACATCTGTAAATAAAAAAGAATAAAATGATAATCTAATTACAATTTTAGTATTATTCACTAGAAAAATCTTAAATTGTATATTACCAGTCCATTTGACCAGTAATTTTGCCAGCTGATTTTATATGTCATCCATTCACTTTTTCTGTTAACTCATTTCCACATAATGTGCTTTAATTATGATGTCCATTTAGATAACCAAAATACTCTGTCATTTGTTCATGTAGATTATTCTCTTTTATTTAGCAGATGAGTATTACGTTTGTCTTGATATTTTCATTTCTGTTTTTTTCTTTTTTCATCACTAAGTATCTCTCTCTCTCTCTCTCTCTCTCTCTCTCCCTCTCTCCCTCCCTGCACTCCCATGGCAGTGATCTATTAATCAATATTATCAAATAATTGACATGTTGTGGGGGTGGATAAAGTGCAGGCATGATTACAATCCAATCACACTTCTCTTCATTTATTGCAATTTGATTGCCATCGTTCTCAAACATAAATGAACCGTATGACAATTGTATGGCCCAACCACAATGAGTAGCTGTAATTTTCACAAGCAATAATGCACACATTTGAAATGCGGTCTTTCCCTACAGCAGTGCAGCAATTAAAATGTATACAGATTCATGTATTTTGTATAATTTAGTTATTAATTTTCATGAGAATGCATCAGTTTTAGAACACTATAAGTTTTGATCTTGATAAAGAAACATTGTGATATTTTGTTTTTCCTTATTCCTTTCACCTATACTTCACTTGCATTTCTTTCCACAATCTTTGTACAGCATATCCTTGCCCATACGCTCTCTCTCATCACTCCTCAACTGTACTCTATTCAAGCTACTACAGTACACATATTAGCATTGTCACTGCTTAGGCCAATGCAGTATACACATGTCAATTAATGCATGCAGCTTTCTCTCTCTCTCCCCGTCTCTCTCTGACCGGCGACCTACGAGAGCGTAGAGAGCAGAGCTGCCATGCATGTCATTCAGTTCCCTAGTTGGCGTAGAGTGTGGATGCATCGTTTTGGGTTGGCTGTTGCGCCAGCCAGCTCGCCTCTGCCGCCGTGATGGTCATGCGGTCTTTCCTCCTGTTAAGATGCCAACCGTCTCGGGCTAATCCCACCTCTCCATCTCGTTGTCGTCAGGCCGGAGGGCATCCTTGCTGATCGGTCAATGTGAGCTAGCATCTCTCCTGATTGATTCCATGTTCTACTAAATTTGAGCACTCGTTGACGGGGAGTTAAGCTCTCTTTTTATTTCTCAACAACCACTCATAAATTTTGGCTTAACCTCATACGGACTACCAGGAATAAATGTGTCTGGAATGCTGCCACTGCGTTATTGCCTGATCTGTTTCAACTTGTACTTGATACATAGGCTATCATTGTTTTAAATCCTGTTTGGATCTACATAGTGAAGAATTGTTCAAGTTCGTGAGAGAAGTTCCTCTATTTTACTTCTGAGGTCTCCTTAAAGGAATCATAAACAAACTTGGAGACTTTCATACATCGGGAGTCACATATTTGAGAAGATTGTGTAAGTTAATACCAGTATGTGTTTCATTTCATTTTTCATTAAGTCCATGAAGCCTTACAAATTTGACATGAAGCCTTTCCTCTTCTTATTAAACAAGTATACAATGATCTATTACCGGTATTATACATTGAACCAATGCTTGTTCATGTGGGAGTATATAGCGCATACATGTAGAATGCATGCTCCCATCTTCTCTCTAGCTGTTTAATGAGACTTGGTGAAGATGAAAGAAAGAAGAGAAGTGCAGAGGATATTGAACTACTCGGACCAAGCTAGCTTTGATATATGTGATCTGACAAGCAATAGCATACACTTTGGTGATTAATCCCACTATACCTTGGGAATGAGATGAAATTGCCTTGACTAGCTTGCTTGCATTCTCCAGGAGACAATTTCTTCTCATGAAGTTTTTATTACCCTTCTCCCTTAAATCTGATCATGATAATTTGACATTGACCTGTCTCTTAAACATGGTGATTTATGGCTTAAAATTACTGCGTTTGAAGGTGATCCTTCATTATATAAAGACAGAGATTTATTTCTACTTGCTTTAGATGCTTCCTTTCTATATATATGATATATATGACCAATGTATTATCAGTCTTTGTCTACTTGAAAATTGTTTCTATGAATTATTGAATTAAAATTGCATGTATAAGAAGCTTACTTATCAATTGATATATAAATCAAAATATTAGAGACAACCTTATTTCAATATGCCATACCTTTCTTTGCCCTGTCCTGTTAAGTATCCAAATTTAGATTGTCCAATAAGTCTCCAGTTTGTATAATTTCTTAATATAGTGAAACATATTTCCAGTTGCAAAGTGGAATCTTGGGTGTGGTCACATAGCATAGTGCATGAAAAGTTATGGATTAGAGATATTTTTGTGTTTCGATCAGCAATAATTCTGTATATTTATTATTTTCTGGTTAATAATAGATCAAGGTAATTTAAGCAGTACATGCACTGATAGTCATATTATATTAATGGATTAACGATGAGTCTGATTCCAGCTGAGCGACAACGGCTTGTCACTATATTTTATCTTGACAAATTGTTTCAGGTGTAATAACATAAGGGATTCACGAGAGAAAACAGACATTGAAAATGAGGTAGAAAAAGCTGAACTCATGTAAACATGCAAAACAAAATATTCAAAGAGAACTAAACTTTCAAATAAATACTGGAAACAATTCAGTTGAGGATATTATGAAAAAATGATTAAATCTTGAGAATGATAGAGATGGACAAGAAACAGACAGAGGCCGACAGAGACAGTCGACGACAGAGAAAGAAGTGAGATGACGAGAGGAAATAAGAAAAAAGAGAGATCAGAGCGAGACAAGAAGGCCCTTATGATTCTTGCAGTTTATAGTAAACTCTTCAATACGACTGAAGAATTTTTATTGCTTGCGTGACATTATTGGATTTCTGTACCTTCGACATTTTCCAAAATAGTATGGATCTGTAGAAGAATTGGGGCGACATATTGCCATCGGAGTTCCCGCCAATGCTGCACTGCCTCTCATGTTTCTTTTAAGTCTGTGAGTGCCGCAGATTGAAATCTAGCCCGTGCTGCAAAGCAAAAGGAAAGTTTGACGGTATGGAGGGGGAGAGGCTTTCTTTATCTGACTAGCCTGCAGACATGAGAATCTATATGCCTAGCTTGTCTAGTGAATGGTTCTAGCTAGGAATCCATCGGGTAGCAGCAGTTTCCCCCAAAAAAGTGATTTGGATGTGAATTAATATGACTCCATTGGTGTATCTGTGATAGAATTACAAAGATAGAGATCTTATTGGAATTTCAAGACACGAACATCGTGACATTTAGAGGTCTGGTTATATATTTATTTAAAATGATTTTTAACCAAATCATTTTGGAAGGGCTTTCAAATGATGAAATAACTGGATATTTATTGGTTGATTGTGGGACATATAAAACAGTTTTTTTTCTTCAGAGTAATAGAAGCTACATTTTCTTATTGCTGCATCTGATAGTCTTCCAGCAAAGCATATAACACTACTTCCGAGAATGTCAGAGTAATATACAAGATTTTCAGCATTAAATCTGTCTAGGTTTTGTATTTACTACATGCTATATAACCTTGAAAGTTTTAAACAGTCTCTACTTCAAGATGCTTGACCTATAAATCTCATCTTACTTCTTCTACCTTCAACCTCAATGTATAAGTCCGTAACTTTTAATGCCAATTAAAAGAATTCATGTAAAGTTTATTTGCTTGCAATATTTGCATATATACAAATATAAATCCTCCAATATATTTATCTGTGTATGATTTACTTATATATAGAAAAACAAACCATCTCATATATGCTTTCTTACATTTTCAGCAGCTTTCAGTAATAGGTTATAAATAATCTTAGCGCCTGGAAGTGTCTTGAAAATGTTGTTTTTGTCTCATTTCTAGGAAACGCTGAATCTGGCCATGGATTACAGAACGTGATGTTAACCAGCATTGCTTGCGGCCAGTAACCATGGATAACTTCATTCTCACGTTGTTCTACGATTTCAAGTTCTCAAGAAGGAAAATCGGCTTTTAAAGCTATCCACAGTGAATCAGATCACTTAAATGACAAAAACAAAGATGACTGATGGCGGGGATGAAACAAACACCACCAACAGCTCGCAGTCGACTACCACTGCCGCAATGTCGCTGCTTCGGATGTCCCGCAGCTCCCGTAGCTCCAGTTCGCCAGAGCTACACTGCACCTCTGCGACCCTGCCCAACTCCACCCAACAGGTGTTGACGTCGCATTCGGCGGACGAACTCCACACAGAGGTGCACTTGCCTCGAAGCGAACCTGTGAGGAAGACTTTTGTGAACAGGCAAAAGTACAATATTCAGTGTTGCACCTTGCCGGTGTGTTTGATTACGCTGCAGGTCTTACTTGGAGTAACTGTGATTGTTTTTGGAGTAACCATGCTGCACATGACCCCATCGTTGAAGACTAGAGATGCACCTTATTGGGCTGGCATAGTGGTGAGTGACCTTTGAACTTTGATCCTTTATTGATTCTGTAATGCTGTCCTAATTCATCTTTGTACTATTAACCAAGATGAATATTGAATAAATGTTTTCATCAGGTGCTCCGTGTATCTTATAAGTACTCTGAAGGTGTGGATGTTTGTGGATGTTCTCTCCAAGTAATTAAAGTATATGAGACTTTCTGTATGTATATTTTTTAAACTTTTGTGCAGTCATTATATGTTAGGTGACTAGAATATTTGCACATTGGTTTGCATTGACCTTTTTTCTTTTTTTGAATAAAATTTATTGTTGTCTGTATATATTCAACTTATTATGGATATATCAGTGAATAATAAATGTATTGGGGTTATTCGTGCGATGAACAGAAGAGCAATAATGTGTTCAAACAAGGAATTCATGATGTAGCAGAAAAATCAAGAATAGAACCTAATAACGGAAGAAAGGAAATCTGATTGGATCATCCATTGACTTACGAGACTCATTAAATTACATCATCGTTAATGTAATAACCTGGACTGTGAGTACATAAAAGGTCTTTATTCCATTACAAGTCAACAAATTGGGGTTTAAGTGGGCCAGACAAGATGTTATATCAAGTAAGAATCATCATTCAGTAGCATATATCAGATTACCGTTATGGAATGTCAACCAATCTTGATGGCGGTGTAATTGGTTGTGAGTAAAGAACGAGATTATGGTTAATGACCTATCCGTTGGGATGGCTTGAGCTGCTTTCTAGCCAGGAATGACTTAATTAGGACAGGGGGATCGGTCCTTGAATGGTCTCGCTTGCATGCTCGCTAGTATTTTGTCTCCAACGGGATGAAGCGAGATGTTTGGCGTTAGGAGGATGTAGCATTACTTTGATTGGTCTTCAGAGAGGCGCATCATTGGGAGAATTACCGAATACCATTCCATGTTGATCTACTTATTGTCTACATAGTTTGTCATCAACATTTTAGGTCTCCATCTACATTTGAATTGTACATGAATGTACATTTCAAATGTAGTTTTCTTTTTCAGGGATTTACCCTTGACGTTCTTGAAAAAGAGGGTTTAGTTCCGGAAATGGTTAAAAATGAGTGAGATTTCTCTGTCTTTTTATGTCGGTTTAGAAGAATATCATCTTAGGAATGTCCCTTAAGAGGAGGATTCCACCTCAAATGCCCCATATTTGAAATATGATAAGAAATAGCTGAATAGCAGAATTCTTTTATCATTGTGATGATTCTAAAACTACACAAGTATACACCTCTTATCAACTAATTATAATTATTAACTACATAAAATGACCAACCTTTCCCAATTGCTTTTAGTTTCTTTCACAGTGTAATTACGTGACCATCACTCATATTTATCTTTAATCTGAATGCAATTTCATTTTGACATAATGCTCAATTTCCATAGATTCCAGTTCTAGTTATGGGCAAAGTATTCAGTGGGATATTGAATGAGTTTAAATTCTATGTCTTTTTTATTGAACCCATGACCTTGTGCTTAAACTACTTATTATTTAAAGTATTAGTCCTTCAATTTGTTTCATTATTCATCATTACAATGCCAGTAAGTGGGGGAATTCTTCATGAAAATCACTTTTCCTTTCAAAAAATGGCTTGACTTTTTGTTGGTGCCAACATTTTTTCATCCATCTGTCAAAGCAATATCCATGGCAAGAGCATGTGATACATAATGCTCCATTTTGTAAGGGGTATTCCTTGAAAACTCTGTCTATGGGGACTGTTTAACTATTCATAAGACGAAAGTAGAAGAAAAATGAGGATGTAAACAACAAAAATCATGAAAGCAGAACGGTAAGAAAGCTCACATGTCAAGACGGGAGACTTCGCTCGTAATGTTTTTCCAATTTTCTCAAATTATTGTCCGTAGGCTGTATGGAGACAGTTAAATTATGCAGTGAAATCGGAGTTGTCATGGAGTGATATGGTCATATTCCAAGACAAGCTGATCGTAGAAAATGCAAACAAGTAAAAGAAGATGAAGAGTTTCTGTTCTTGTCCTCAAGGAATGTTTCCGAAATTGATGAGATTATCGAAGATTGATTTTATTCAAAGGATTTCATTTGGTATGGGTGACTTGATTTCAGTGCTTCCTGTTGGGTGTATCATTAGCATTTTGTGTTCATGTAGCAACTTATTACCACTATGAGTAGTTCATTGATTATTCTCTAGAGCTGCTTTTGGCATACATTTTATGTGAACCTGTATAACAATTTCCAGAGCAATTGGAGTTGCTAGTGAGTGATACTAGGATCGATTGATTCTAGACAATGCTTAAAAAGGAAAGAGGATCTGTATTTTTTCTATAAAGCTTCTTAAAAATGAAAACAAAAACTGTTGGTAATTCTTCTTCAAAGTACTTCCTGTTTGAATGGTTTTTGTGTTCATTGAATTTTATTTCAGAAAGTATTTAAGGTACACAGAATTTAACGAGGATGGTTTAAATGATCTTTTGTTTTATGAAATAACAACTTGTCTGTTGAGAGCCAGAAGGGTGTTGATACTGTGTGATAAATTAAATGAGTTAACACCCTTCTGGCTCAAAACAGATTTCATAAAAACTACTATACTCTGATTAAGCAGTGTGATGGTGACCATACGTTAAGTGAATTTCTGGTGATAACAAAAAAAAAAAAAAAAACAAAAAAAAAAAATCAAAATTAACAAGGCAAATACACACATAAAAATTATTCTTGATACACTGCAAAGAGGACACTAATATGATTCTTAATTAGGGTAGTTGGGGGTATTTAGTAACTATATCCTAAAGTTAAATTATTGTTTAAATTTCTGAGCAATTAAATCATGATTTTCGACAATTAATCCTTTTTCCTTCTAGGTACCGGTATGTCTTTAATTTTCACTACAATGTGCTAAACTACCTTGATACCCAGTCTTCTGACATGAATGATCAAGTATGTTTTATTGTATGTTTTCGATAACATTTTTGATTGATTTGAAAGTTGATATCCAATGATAGTAACATGTCATAGTAAAATGTCATCTTCCTCAATTAGAATCATCCATCTATTCTAGCCATGCATCGAACAAGTGCGATTAAAAATAAATCCATGCAAGATTTATTGAATTATCTTTTAAAGTGATGCATGCTGAAGAGTAAGCCATGCTTCCATTAAAACTCAAGCTAAATGGAGATGTGCTAGCTGCCACATTATTTATCTCCCTTCTTTGATTTTGTTTCTCTGCCCACGCAATGAAGTTCCCTCTATCATCCGTCCTCGTTACCCCCGCACATTCTGGTCTGTGATAAAGATCACCCCTGCCTAGCCTCTCATTCCTGCGCCTCTCAGGGCTCTAGCTTCCCACCCCAATATGACAGGGGGGTCCTCTCTACGCTTGTGTAATTGTCTGGAGAATGACTTGGTCATTGTCTCGTGGCGACAGGCTTTTGATAAAAGGGATTACACAAAGACTCCTTCCTTCCGTGTAGCTTAATTGAATGCTACTGTAGATCGGACAATTTAAGAAGTTGATTAATGCTTCAGCTATTCAATTATTTTCAAGTGGAAGATCGAAACAGTGAAAAAATGCATAAATTAATCCTAGAGATTGGGGGAAAGTTTTATGATTTAGAGCTTTCAGAGTAGATCTCTTCTCTATCTGTTGCCAAAACATAATTTTTAGCATTTTTAAATATCATCGAATTCAGAGGTTTTTGTTTTTGTTTTTCTGTTGAATGCTCTAAATACAAAAAGCATTTTTTTTTAATTCAGATCATGTCTCCCCTCCCCCAGCATTTATAAATAATACATACAATTAATCATTTATGCACAGTTCAGAGATATTGTAACCCGTATGAGAATTGTTTCATGAATGATTAGCAGAATGGATGGGTAAACAAAATATACACATTCAGATTTAATTGAGCCATATGGCAGCAGTTGAGTATCAATTGATATATTAAACAAACATGTACAAATGTGAATGGCATAAAACTTGCACAAAGAGGACTAAACAAAATCATAACATATGCTAATGCTAAGAACCTCTTCTATCTTCTGTTTTCCCCATCTTTCACAACACATTTTCTTGACCAATCCTTCCTTAACTTTTTTTCTCTTCACAAATGTAACTCCATCCCAGTTTTAACACGTCGCTAGAGTATTTTAACTGAATGTACCTTGCAGAACCCAAGTAACACTTCTCCTTGTGTGTGCACTGCAAGGTTTCTATGGTGAGAGTTAGCATTGTAAGGATATAGTGTATGCTTATTTGTGAAATAAAGCAACAAAGTGCCTCAGCAATTCCAAAGAGCCAATAAACTGCCAATGATTGTCAGACTGATATTACTTTTGGTAAACATTTGGCACGGTAATGGACGTATCATGTTTCTGTGCATTGTATTAGAATCCAAACTGAATGCAAGTTAGCAAACAATACATGAAAATGAAGAGTAGGAGAAATGACAATAAGGCCTCACTAAAGGACTTATAGATCTATACCCTTGCTTTTTTTTTCTTTTATAGGAAGCATATTCATGTTTAATTCTTTAGACTCTCATCCTCTCAATTTCCTGTATGATAATATGTATTTTCTTATTAAATCTTTGTGATTTTTCTAATTTCACTAAAATCTGTGTGGATATGTATCTAGGTTACTTGCAAATGGGTATACTATTGTGTACATTTCTCCTATTGAGCACAGCTGTAAAGTGCTTTAGAATGTTTCTACATCAGCAGTAGATAAACCAGGGGATGATTTTGCAGGAATTTACTTTCATTTTCAAAGTTGACCTACATTAGAATACCATTGCCCCCCTCCCCTCCCCCATTCCATAATGAAATGCTGTTTCAGTTGTTTTTTACGGTGAAGGGAGGATTACTTGTTTACTGCCTCATACTGCCTTATACATACAGTATTTTAACATCATCTGTAGATCAACAATTAGATTTTTTTCCCCTGAAATTTATTTTTATTTTCTTCTTCTGGGAAATCATGTCATGACTTTCATAAACTAAACATTGGCTCATGAAATAAGGATTCATGGGTTTTTCAATAGCATTTCATCATTATAGTGGGTTCACATCTGCTGTAGATCAACTGGAAACATTGCTGTTTGAAAATGTACTTGCAATATTTTCTTTTGGATCAGCAATACTTCGTTTATTGTATTTGTCATGTCAAATAATCATGTCAATTCCATCACGCTAGATCAGCTAAGGGATAATAAATTGTGTGAGAATTCAGCTTTTTGTTCATTGAGTTGATCTTTTCATCAAAACCAAAATAGTATTTGTACAGTAGACATTGTCTAAATCATTTCAATCTGATTTGCATTCTTCCCAAATGAGATGCACATTAGTTAAAAAGTAAATGTACTTGGTGTTTGAATTATTTATTTGTTACTCAGCAAATTATCTCCTTATGAACACCAAACTGAATAATGTATAAATC